AGAAGGAAGCAGGGGCAGTCTTTGTAAAGTCTACAGCAGTGTAGGCCTTCATAGTCACTCAGCTCTCATCACTGACCCCTCAGACCAGCTTCTGTTTCTGGATCTCCATTCATGGTAAGTGCCTATACAGGTATTCCATTTTTTATCTTTTATATTATATTTTCGCTGCATCTTCTCTATATTGATGTTTACATATACAAATATTAATTACCATTGTATTACAACTGCCTACAGTATTTAGTACAGTAACATGGCATACAGGTGTATACCCTAGGAGTAATAGGCTATAAACAATACAAGCCTAGGTGTGTAGTAGGTTACAATATCTATGTTTATAAGTGTGCTCTGTGTTGGTCACACAAGGACAAAATTGTCCAACTATGCATTTCTCAGAATGTATCCCCATCATTTAGTGATACTAAACTGTAATGTCATATCACTTATATTTTCAACATCCTTTCCTTAGGATTTTCCATGGTATCCTTCATTCCAAGGGTCTATTTTATTGCTTTAAACAAAGAAAATACTTCAAATTTTGTTTTGTTTCTTTAAGTGAATCCAGAAAGTTTTTACTTTTACTTATTGGCACTGAGGTAAACACTATCTAGATCAATTAAGGCAGCGGTTCTCAACCTGTGGGTCGCGACCCCTTTGGGGGTTGAACGACCCTTTCACAGGGGTCGCCTAAGACCATCGGAAAACACATATATAATTACATATTGTTTTTGTGATTAATCACTATTCTTTAATTATGTTCAATTTGTAACAATGAAATTGGGGGTCACCACAACATAAGGAACTGTATTAAAGGGTCGCGGCATTAGGAAGGTTGAGAACCACTGAATTAAGGCATTTAAAATCTAAGTCTTCCACAATATGACTTAGCCTATGATCACAGTCTTATTTCTCACCACATTTCCCGACTCCAGCCACACAAATGGTTCTTTTTTTTTAAATATATTTTATTGATTTTTTACAGAGAGGAAGGGAGAGGGATAGAGAGTTGGAAACATCCATGAGAGAAGCCTCTAACAGTGATGGCGAGCCTATGACACGCGTGTCAGAGGTGACACACGAACTCATTTTTTTTGGTTGATTTTTCTTTGTTAAATGGCATTTAAATATATAAAATAAATATCAAAAATATAAATCTTTGTTTTACTATGGTTGCAAATATCAAAAATTTTCTATATGTGACACAGCACCAGAGTTAAGTTAGGGTTTTTCAAAATGCTGACACGCCGAGCTCAAAAGGTTCGCCATCACTGCTCTAGCCACTGAGCCAAACTGGTCAGGGCACAAATGATTCTTAACATTCCTAAAACTTAATCCATACATTTAAAATTTATATGTTTTTCCTCAAAACATTCACTTTGCCACAAAGGTGATTTCTATCCTCTCTTCTAGCCCACATGTGATTCTTTCACAGTTTATTAGAAAGAGCTGATAAGTTACATCCTTACTACCAATTTTCCTGGGTCAGAATTAATCAATTAATCCCTCTCTTTATTATTTCTCAAAAGAGTATTCAAAACTACCTGAAGACACTCTCTTTGGACTTATGATTGTGTAGAATTATCTCTTTACAAGACTCTTTTAGGATAGAAGAAAACTGTTTTAAGCACTCTAAAAGTTACTTGGCATGAAGAGCATAAAATAGACTTGTTAAATGAATTATGAACACTGATTAAAATAAAGTATATTTAAAAGCTGGCACAAATAAGTTTTCAAGTAAGCATTTCAAAAAATAAATATGTTTTCTTTTCCTGTTTGCAGGCCTAAAAATTCATTTGCTCAAGACTACTCATCTATTTCCTATATCCACTAACCTCCTACTCAAATAACCATCAACGGTTTTGTTCACAGGCACATAGTGAATGCCTACTCCTGCAACTATACTGAACGATACTACTGGTAAAATGACTATTTTAAGTAAAACAAACAAACAAAAACTCAGGAAATCATTTACTAAATTACTTATATTTTATATAGCACTATATAATTTCAAAAACATCTTAGTTCAATTCTTTATAAAAATAAAAATTTATCAAAAAGTTCCTAGGAAATACTTTATTCAGAGAGATACAAAATAAACTTTATATAATAAAATTGATAAATATATCATAAAGTTGTCTTTTCTGCACATGATATTTTTGTAAAACCAACTGGATTAGTGTCTCTGAAAAAAAGGCAACTTTAGTTTAAACTGCCATTCAAATTAGCATGGCTCAATCAACCCAAGAACCTGAAAAAATATACAATTTTAAAGAGATATAATTATAACGTTAATATACAGAAATAAATTGTGGCTTAAATGCTATAAACTGATTAACAATGTCCATAGATTTTAAATTATTTAATCAATATTGATGTCTAGATGATTCCCATTCTTGCAATATTTAGCAGCCTTTTTTTTTCAAAGTTCTTTATCCTTACTGACTACTCCCATCCTTGTTTTAACCTATCAATAGCATTAAGTAAAACTCCATTATTGTCATTAATCTATTTTCTTCATTAAAATAAAAATTAAGTTGCATATTTTCTTTAAAACTTGCTATGTGATCTATTTTAAAATATGTTCATGTGATGTGTCCCCACTTTCAAGTTTTCCTACTGTTAACACTTGCTATTTATGAATTTTTATTTGGCAATAATCTAAAATAATACAGCCTCCTATTCCAACAGTGATATTCTAAAGTAGTTGAGTATTCAATTTACATTTTAACATATAAATCAAAGTGTTATTTTTCCCTCTGTAGACTACAAAATGGCCATTGGCCTTTATCTTTAAATTGTAGAATCTTAGAAGAAATAAAAAGCACCTAGCTGTGAAATTACCAACAAGATTAGGATATGTATGGCTTTGCATTTTTGCTGTTCTACTTCCTAGCACTGTAACCTTGTAAAAGATATTTAATGTATCTGAGTCTTAATTTCTACATCATTCAATAGTGGAAAATCTGTACTTGATTTATATGATTGATGTAACATGCTTTGAACAAAGCCTACCATATGGTAAATGCTCAATAAAATTTAACCATCTTTTCCTCCTTATTCTATCATATTTTTTCCTATTGTATCTCCTTCACCTCTTCTTTCTCTCTTTCGTCTTACTGATCCTTGGCTGGTGTTCAAAATGCACATCTCAGGCTAACAGTTTATTTATCAAGGAGAGAAAAGAAATCTAAATCAATTTCACAAATACCACAAATAAGTATTTGGCCTTTCATGAAGTGGCCGATATTCCTCTCAGGTAGCCGTGCCAAGGTAAAGATACAGGCCTCAGAGTCAGAAATAGCTTATTTTTGATTAAAGACCATAATTCACTATAGGGCCACTGTGAAAATAAAATGTAAATTTCTTAGTGCAGTAACTGGCAAATAGAAAACTATGAAGTAATACCTATGATAAAATCATCACAAGAATGATATCAGTAAGTGTATTTGTAACTCTGTAAGTCCTGTGTCCTAGTTACCAGTTTGCTCAGAAATGTGGCCTGACCAAGCCAAACACAATCACTAGAGCAGGGGTATAACTCCTGATCCCCACATGATTCTTCAGCTATGACTATATGAGGACAGTAATAATAGGATCTCTAATGTGTGTGTGTGGGGGGCGTTTGGTCTTTTTTTCCCAGAAAATAAAAATTAGGGCTTCTATATTAATTACTTATAAGTTCTTATAGGTTATTCTGTATAAGAACTGATACAGAGATATTTATTATCTTAGAAGGTTTCTAGGAAAAAAATTTAATTTACTTCTTGAAAGTAACTGTGATAAATGTGACATACTTTATACACACAAGACATACTGATGTTTATTCATTTTAATGGAAAGAAGATAATGAAGGTTGAAGCATAATCTTAATTTAAAAATATATTTCTCATAAATGATTTGATAAAGAGCTCACAGAATAAAAAGAAATTTTCAGAAAAAAATAAATAAAATCAGTCTATAAAACAAATAAAAAACAGCCTGTTAATCAAAAACAGGAAGATTTAACTCTTCATATGAATTTTTAGATGAGAATACACATGTTTAATAATTAACTGTTGAATAACTGTTGGTATAAAAAGTCAAATTCAAGCAGCAATATTTGAATAATTCTAAAATAATAAAACCTGTTTGGGTCAACTTCTCCTTTCAGATTTAAATTTGTAGATGTAATGGAAGAAGCAATGTAAAATTATCAAGAATGTGATAAATGAGAAAAAAAAACAAATTTTAAGAAAAGAAAGAAAAGCTAACCCAACTATACCTGAAGACAGTTGACCACCTCCATTATTAAAGTTGTTTAAACAGACAAAACTAACAATGCACAAAGCTTCATAAACCACCCTTTTATGTTAGCTTAAAATAAAAATGTAGAAACATATTGCAATGTGAAAATAATGCAAAATACATCAAAACATAAAAATCAAGTACAAACAAAACTAAAATAATGTTAATACCTGAAAAACTGTACTTTGTAAATTATGCATCCTTATAAGTATTTCAAAAGGAACTACTCCTAGATTTAAAAAAAGAAACAACAACACCTAATCATAATGTATCTTTTTGCCAACTTCAAAAAATACAGTAGACTCATAGCTTCTAATAAAAACCAAATTGTTAATATCTGTGAAATCCACTTATGTTATGGTAATTTAAAATTTGTTTATGCACAAATACTCACTGAGGTTACCAAACTTCATAACATATATACACAAAAGTGTCTTAAATATACAAATAGAAATTTATTTCTAGAGAAAATATTTATGAAATATTCTAATATTATTCTGTATAAACACTATGTTAAAGAACAGTTACTAATTTAGAAGAAACAAGTATGTTTTACATATTATTCCCACTTCTAATTGTAATTTAATCTCTTCTATGTGATTTAAGTTATATGCTAAAATGTATACCACAGAGAGTCCAAAACCCACCATTCTTTCATATTACAACAGATCCTAAATATCTAACAAGGATGACAATTTTTAAAAGATATTCAAACTTACCCCATTTAATGGATATGTTTTCCATCCTAGCTCTCCCAGCACAGTTGTTGTATCAAGCAACACAACTGCAATTAAATAAACAAAAAATGCATAAATATCTCAAATCTTACTATTACTCACTACATTAGCTTTAGTAAGTTGTATTAGTTTAAATTATTTATATATAGTATTTATAAGTAATGATAAAATACGTGAGGTGGTTATAAGTTAATTTTAAAATATGTAATTTGTGTATAACAATGCTAAATGAAACAATTTAATAACAAAGTCATTCTTAATAGCTGTCTTCCACATAGAAGCATAGAACAAATTGTGGACTCAGAGGGAATTAGAGGAGGAAAAAGAGAACCAGATCCAGAAAAAAATTCTCTTTAAACAACATCAAACACAGAAGTGGATCAGTTTAAGGATCTGTAACAGCAAACATCAAACTCTTTTTAAGCTACAATAATGGACAGTAATGCTATCCTATCTAATAAAAGAGTAACATGCAAATTAACCATCACTTCTAGACAAAGATGGCGGCACCCACTGCCAATAAGGAGGGAATATGCAAATTGACATGACAAAGATGGTGGTGCTGGCCAGAGCCACAGAGCCAAGCCTGCTGGAGAGCGGGCATGGGAGGCTTGGCTTCCTCTCCAGACGGCTTGGCTTCCTTGGTCGCCCCAGCTGGCTCCATGGCCGCCACCCAGACAAAGCCATAGTGGCAGGGCCGAGGCAGAGGCAGTAAGGGGCGATCAGGCCAGGAGGTGAGGGCAGTTGGTGTGATCAGGCCAGCGGTGGGGGAAGTTGGGGGCAAGCAGGCCAGCAAGGGGGGGCAGTTAGGGGGAATCAGGCGGGCAGGGGGGGGAGGTGGGGGGG